GGTTGCGATCCCGTTGCTGGTCCCGGTCCGGAACGGGCGCGACACTGAGGGTTGTGATCCGTTGCCGGTCACGAAAAAAAAAGACAAAAAAATAAAAATAAAAATAATAATAATAATAATTATTATTATTATTATTATTATTATTACTTAATAATATAAACAAGTTTCCAAAAAAGTTTTCTACCATGATCTCTCAGATCATTCAAGTAACAGACAACGCTATAAACTGACAGGCCAAATCCACAAATACAAATAGAAAAATACCACAGATATATCTCCTAACTGCTTTAACTAATATACTTAATTCTCACTAAATGTCGAATAGCAAACAACCTTCACAAGTCCCAGTTAAATTCCTTTTTAAAACAAGGTCCTGGGCCGAGCCCGTGGCGCACTCAGGAGAGTGCGGCGCTGGGAACACAGCAGCGCTCCCGCCGCGGGTTCGGATCCTATATAGGGATGACCGGTGCGCTCACAGTGCTCACTGGCTGAGCGAAGTGCGGCCGGTCTCAAAAAGGATAAAAAAATAAATAAAAAATAAAAAAACCAAGGTCCTAAGTGAGAAGAGGTTGATGGGGAAGCAGTGGTGGGGGAGAAGGTGGAACAAAGGAATAAAGGAATATAAATTAATTCTGTTGGACTTAGACCCAGAGTAAAAATATCCATGAACCAGTGAACCAGTTCTCACCACCACTGGCTGAAGAATCTAACTGGGGAAAACTCCTCAGCTGGGTTAAGTGGATAAAAGCCTCCTGTTTCACAAATGAGTTAATAAAGTTCTTCATTAAGACCTCAATACTTATCCAACAGAAGAGTCAAAAGCCAGCAATGCTCAAAAAGACATCACCCAATTTTGCATAAAAGATTGGATATGGTGACTGCTACTGACCTTCAGGATTAGGGCCTGGCTCTGCCTCTCATCTTGCAGTACCGTCTAAAGGAAAACAGAGCAGTCAAAAGCCATCTTACGGGCAAAATCCAATTAACAAAGAAAAAGATGCACATTTTCACCTCATTCTTCAAGATTATAATTACCTATTTGTTTATGTAAACAATTTTTAACTGTTTCATTTACCTAAGTGAAAAATAAATAAAAAAATAAGTGTACCCAAATCTCTGCTCAAATCCCTCCCCCTCTGCTCTGGCCTCAGTTTTCTCATGTGTAAAATGAGGTGCTGGGCAGGCTGCATGTTCTCCCAAATCCTTTTCAGCTCTGAAATCCTAATAGTTTATGATTACCATGTCAATCTTTTACCTCTCCACTCTTCCAAGTGTGAGAGGACCGATCTCAGCATTAGTATATGTTCTTTTTTTAAGCCTTTAAAAGTCTGTCCTGAGAATGGCTGATCTGATCACCCTATCCTGTTGAAAGAAGTGGTGCCAAAACCCTAAATTATCTAAAATCAAAAAGGAAAAAGGTTACAGGCAGCAGAAGAGATCTGGACATAACCACAAACCTTTAGTGAGTCCCGGGTACCCCTGTAATCCTCTTGAAGATAACATTGGAGTAACTGCACACTCTGTTCTTCATCAAGACCCTGAAATACAGAGCTCATAAGTGAGGAAGAGCCACCTCAGCTCAGAAACCACACACACGATGCAAAGCATTCTAAAGATTTGTCCTCTGAAATGAACACAGAATTTGAATAAAGAAAAAACCCTTTTCAAATATTTCATACGATATAACAATCTTAATCCAAATAGGAAAAAAAAAGAACCAATCACTCTTATGCAATTTGTATGACAATTAAATTAACATGCCACAAACAGCTGTGCTTATTCATCAAGAACATTAATTCAATAGCGGGTATGATCTGAGCTTTCAAAATTAAAAGAAAACACCTGTATATTTAAATAAAAACCTAGTCAAATGTACACTCAAGAAAATTCTATGATATGTAGTAAATGGGCCAAGCAACTTTGATTTGTGACTTTCAGCAAGAAGAGCTACAACCTAGTTATTTCTGAAACACAATACGCTCAATTTAATCCCCAAAACCAAAATAAAATGAATTTTCACTAACAATAAAACCATACACATCCACGCTGTAAGTAACAGACTGAGCCAGTGCTAATTTTCACTCACCAAAAACTTGCTGATTCTTAAACCCAGTTCCTTCAGTGGTGAAGCTACATCTTTATTAGCTTTCACTTTTTCTGCTGAACTTGGACTACAAAAAGAACAGTGAATCATTTCCTCATTCTCAATGACCATCTAGGGGGTTAAAATTAAAATACTTAAAGATATTTTTACTGTGGACTTTTTTCCTGCCCTTTATGTGCCTAGAAAACACACACATGCAAGATCGCCTCTACAGACTTTGTAACACAGAACTGTTTATGCCTAAGTAATAAAAAATAGTATATATCTGTTATAAACTATAGTTATAACAACACTATTAGAAGACACATCAGATTACATTAATTATTTTTGATCCTTACAACTACCCTGAAAGGTAAATATTACCATCCCCATTTTACAAATCAAATTACTGACACTTAGTAAGAGTAAAGAACTTACCAAAATCCCACAGCTAATAAAAAAAGTTGAGGTGAAATTTAAAACCAGGTCTGTTGGTATACATACATATATTATCCAGCTCTGTCCACTGAGAAGGCCTCTAGGCCTTATGTTATGATACCCCAGGAGCAGCAAGCACACCCAGCACCCAGATCTTGGTTTCTAATACCATTCTCTAATAAAAGGTACCAGGACCCCTCGGAGAAATGGCTGATTGTAGAGCCAGGGCAGGTAAAATACAAGACAAGCATGAAGCACCTTGTAGTGCCAGAAAGTAAGGAAGTGCTCAAAAAACAAAAGAATAGGGATATGTCAAAAGGACACAGAAGCCAACATGAAAGAACTCCCAATGGCCAAAGCAAGAACAAAGTACTAACAAAACATGAGTCCATACTGATATAAATGAATGAATGAGTAAAAAAAATAGAGGAGAGGAAAATCTTTCTTACAAAATTCCAAATAATATATCTAGATGCTATCCCCTTCAGGAAGTGGAGTTTAATTCCACTACCACCCCACATTGACAATGGACTATACTAGTGACTCACTTCCAAAGAATAGAGTAAGGAAAGAAAAAAAAGTAACTTTATAAAGCAGAAACTTGGCAAATGCTACCAAATGACCTTAACCAAGTGACCAAGGTTAATATCACCAGTGATTTCATGTAGATAACATATACCCTCTGAAATAAGAATGTTGCTTCACCTCTGTGTATTCTTTCCCAAAAACCCACTACCCCAGTATAACAATGAGAAAACATCAGACAAATCCAAAATGAGGGCATTCTACAAAATGTATGACCAGTCCTCCTCAAAACTGTTTAAGGTCATGAAAATCAAGGAAAGACTGAGACACTGTCATAGCTAAGAGCAGACTATGCAACGTGGTACCCCGGATTGGATCCTGGAACAGAAAAAGGGCACTAATGAAAAAAATGGTTAAATTCCAATAAAATTTTGGAGTTTCTTTATTTAAAAAAAAAAAAAAAAAGGTCTGCCAGACTTTACTACTGCAAATGGAATTTTTCTTTTTTTAGAAAAAAATGGTTAAATTCCAATAAAATTTTGGAGTTTCTTTATTTAAAAAAAAAAAAAAAATGGTCTGCCAGACTTTACTACTGTAAACGGAATTTTTCTTTTTTTAAAAAAACAAAAAACAAAAACTAAAAAATGCCACAAATGTCCATTCTGTGACTTAAAGCATGATGTTGTTGGATTTTTTTTTTTTAGAGAGACTCTCACATTTCACAGAAAATCCACAACATAAAGGTTGGCATAAGGGTAAACAATAAGTTCTGAAAGAGGCAACACAGAATGATGATTAAGAACACAGACACTGGAATAAGACTACCAGGTTCGAATCCTGGTTCTACCACTTACTAGCTGTGTGACCTTGGGCAAGTTACTTAACCTCTTTGTGCCTCAGTTTCCCCATCTGTAAAATGGAAACAATGATAATAAGAGTACCTAAAAAGTGATAATATAGTGATTATCTTTTTTAAAGTTCAGATATTTTAGATACATAGTGAAGTATTCACAGACAAAATAACAAGATGTCCTCTTCAAAGTAATTATGGCAGAAGGGTTAATAGATGAACAATAAAAAAAAGTTCATCATTAACCTAAGAGAATAAAGATGGAAGGTAAAGATGTAATAAATTCAACAGACGTCCAGAAGAAAGGAAATGAGGATGACTTGGGACTACAATGTATAATAGAATGAGACCTGGACTAGGAAATAAGGTAAATGAGTCTAGCTCTACAAGCTGTATTTCCTTCTTTTTTAACTACTCTACATTTTGTTATTGTTTTTGTCCATTAAACAGGACAAAAGCCTATTTATTCACCCAAAGAATAAAAATAGTAATTATCTCAAAGGGTTGTTGTGGGAATTAAACAACTTTTGAGTCAGTGCTTAGAATAATAATAATTAACTATATTACTGTCAGCTATTATCACTGTTTGCTGCTATATCCCAGCATTTAGTGCTCACACAAACATGGTGAATCCTAAATAAATATTAGAAATATCAATTTAATATTTAATAAATCCTCATCCCCATAGGGTTATATAACTGGTTCCACAATACCGTATTTCTAGAAAGAATTTCCCTTGTTCTACACTTTTCCACTGATAACCAAATTGTATTCTCTCTGATCTCTCTAACCCAGCAATATCATAAAAGCACACATATGGATGGTTTCATTTATGCCAGCTTCCTCAGGGGACTATACTCTAACCAGACGCATGGAATAGCCGTACCTGGGAGGTTTGTAGTAAGAAAGCCCCTCTAACAACCGCTGCCAGTGTTTATGCAGTTCTGCCTCAATCTGATTCTGGAAAAGAACAAGGCAATTACTTTTTTTTATTTATTTTTGGGGGCTAGTATTATGGACTAGAAAACAAGACAATTATACAAATGCAATTTTAACCGACTCCAGGATCACACAGAGAATTACATAATCTTTTGAGTCTTTTTAATATGCATTTTTCCCCACAGCTGAAATCATTTTGAATATAGAATTCTGTAACCTCCTTTTCTTTGCTTAAGATTGTAACATAATGATTTAACCTTATTACAAGAATCTTGATAAATATACTTTCTAGTGGTTGCATAATATTTTATCAAGTGATGAGATCACAATTTATTTACTATTCCTCTAATGTTATACACTTAAACTGATTGTAATATTTTTGAGGGGGTGGTGGGGTGGCTGGCCAGTATGGGGATCCAAACCCTTGACCTCAGTATTATAACATTGCACTCTAACCAACTGAGCTAACCAGCCAGCCTGTAATCCTTTATATTAATATAAATAATGCTGTGGTGAACAGCTTTGCGTGCAAAACCTCAGGATTTCTGTCTCTTAAGATACATTCCTAGAAGTAGAATTATCAGATGAAGCCATCTTTTAAAAAAAAATATTAAGGCTCTAAAAAGAGTATAACATTCGTTACGTTAATTATAAAAACAATAGTAATAATTGAATGTCATCTTAACACTTTATCCTTATAGGGTCAAAACACACAAGAATCAACATGAAGACTGTCCTTTATTGATTAAACACTTGGAAATGTCCTAGAAACCACAGCCTCTGTAACATAAAGGAGGTAGCTAAACAGAAAAGGAATTAAAGGCAAGTAGAATATGAGACAGTGAAAAGGCCTGAGACTCTTTCTTAGCCTGAGGCAGTGGAATGGTATTTATATCTCTACACTCAGCAGCCAATCAATCAGCACTGGTATCTTTTCAGAAAAAGAATCAAAGAGGTACAAAGAAAGGTAGATTTAGAAAACTTCAGCAGCTAGGCTATAAGACACATTCCCATTTCAGCAGAGAGAAGTAGGGAATGCATAGTTTATGAAGTTTCAGGAATAAAAAAATGTGTTTACTTCCTTCTTCAAAGAGAAGGCAGGTTTTTTTTGTAACATAAGCTACACAAAACCCACAGAAACCACTCAAGAACACTATAACTTACTAGTTCTCTCAAAGCTGATCTTCCAAGCAGAATTGTCCACAGTTCTCTACTGCTCCTGAAAAATGAGAAAGGAAAGGTTAATTTTACTCTTTTAGGTTATACAAACTTGATTAAACTGCCTCACAGCTATTTTGTCTATTCTCTAAAAGCAAAAACACTCAATGTAAAAAACAATTTGTTAAAATTTTGGAAAGTAATCCTGTTAATATTGTTCTTAGAAGTTTTAAGTACAAAATAAAAATGATAAAGCTAAAATATAAGATTTTGGGCCGGCCTGTGGCTCACTCGGGAGAGTGCGGTGTGGCCTGTGGCTCACTCGGGAGAGTGCGGTGTGGCCTGTGGCTCACTCGGGAGAGTGCGGTGCTCATAACACCAAGGCCACAGGTTTGGATCCCATTTAGGGATGGCCGGTTTGCTCACTGGGTGAGTGTGGTGCTGACAACACCAAGTCAAGGGTTAAGATCCCCTACCGGTCATCTTTTAAAAAAATAAAATATAAGATTTTAACCTAGGGCCGGCCCGGTGGCGCACTGGAGAGTGCACCGCTTGGGAGCGCGGTGGCGCTCCCGCTGAGGGTTCGGATCCCATGTGGAGACCGGTTCCCACTCACTGGCTGAGCGCGGTGCGGGTGCAACACCGAGGGTTGCGATCCCATTACCGGTCAGTAAAAAAAGACAAAAAGGAAAAAAAAAAAAAAGATTTTAACCTAAACCAAACGGGCAATGTATTAAAAAAAAATGAATATGGCCACCATATTTTGACACATTTAAGATGCCATTAATTGTAAGACATATCCTTATTTACATTCTAAGAAAACAATGCTGCCAATAAACTATGGCAAGTCGACAATAATAAAACACATCCCAATTACGGAAGTGCTAAAAGTATGAAAAAATGTATACCTTAAAATTAATGAAATATAGTAACTAATGAATCACAGTACATTTCCTATGCTAAGAAGACACTTCAATTTAAAATTTCTATGGGCCGGCCCATGGCTCACTTGGGAGAGTGCGGTGCTGATGACACCAAGGCCACGGGTTCAGATCCCTATATAGGAATGGCCGGTTAGCTCACTTGGGAGAGCGTGCTGTTGACAACAACAAGTCAAGTGTTAAGATCCCCTTACCAGTCATCTTCTTTTTTTTGTACTGACCGGTAACGGGATCGCAACCCTCGGTGTCGCACCCGTACCGGGGACCGGCAAAGGGATTGCGACCCTCGGTGTTAC